TCAGAGGGTGGGGGGCTGTCCCAGGACCAATGCCCCTTCCCAACTTCTTGGGGAACGTGGGTTCTCTCCCCAGAGGGGCAGGATTCCTTCTGTTTTTCTGCAGGTGTCCTGGGAGTTGGGGGTTCGGGGTAGGATCCCTCGTCCCAGGCCCAGGCCTGCTTAGAGACGTCCAGTCACTCTGGGCTCTTGCTCAGGCGGCGCCTCTTCCTAGAATGCCTTTCGGCCCATCCTCACCAGGCCCCAGGGTCCAGCGGCCTGCTGAGCTGTAGGCGCTTCACCAGCTGCCCCCCACTGTCCACTGGGGTCCCCATGCAAGCACAGGGTGAGTGGTGCCCACCTACCTCCCTGCTGTGTGAGCCGAGGCCTGAGCCTCCCAGGTGGACGAGGGTGGAAGTAGCTGCCAGGAGGGGTGCAAAGGGTCAGTATGAGAAGTGGAGGGACTAGTACAAAATCATACTGCCCGCTCCTACCACAGAGCAGGCAAGGGCAGTCCTCTCCCCTTTAACCCATGCAACAGTGACCTGGTTGTGTGCCAGGGCCGCCGTGGCCCCCTGGCATGGCCTGGCCCTTGCAGGGAGGCTGCAGGAACCATGTGCAGGTGACACCTCCCCCTCAGAGCGTGCCCCCGCCCCCCCAGAGGCCCCTGTCTGGCTCCTCAAGGCCTGGAGGCTCAGGGCAGATGAGGTCAGAGCTTCTCCTCAGTGGCCAGGGTCCCTAGATTCTGACTTCCCACTCAGGGGAGGACAGACAGCACACCAGGCTGTTTGTCTGAGGGTGGGTCTCCTGTTCAGCTGGCTCTGAGAGAGGCCAGGCAGGACCTTGATTGACAGCAACCTCGAGGCCCTGGAAGGCTCAGTATGCCTGCCTGCTCTCCAACCAGGGGGCCAGCCTCAGGTCTTCTGCCTGCTTAGACCCTGGGCTCTGGTTGGGGTCTCCTGCTGGGGGCATGGATAGGAGGAAGTGCAGAGAGAAGTTCAACATGGGCAGGGGGACGCCCTGTGGGAGGACAGGTACCCCTCCCACCACCCCTGCTGCCAGGTGCCTTCAGGATGGTGGTTCCCTCCGCCTCTCTGGACGGTCATGGGGTGGGAGGTGTCCCCGCGAGTCCAGCTTCTGTAGGGCAGTGGGCACTGGCTTTGGAGTTGGGAGACAGGGTCCTCTCAGGGAGATGGCCTGGCGAGGCCTCCTGGCTCTCAGGTGACTGTGAGGTTAAAAGGATGAGGCTTTGGGGGCCTGAGGCCCTGACGCAGGCAGGCCCCGCGGCCCACTCTGTGCCTGCAGATGTTCTGGGCGAGGGCGCTGAGACCAGTCAAGGGAGCGAGTGGGAATGCAGGTGTCTGCCCTCGGAGACCCTGCCTGGGGCCTGCCAGCAGAGGCCGGTGGGTGAGGGTCTGCCCCTCCCATCCCAGAGGCTGAGACAAGTCTGGAGCCGGAGGCAGGACCTCTCCCACAGGGAGGGAACCTCCAGCGCTCCCAGCACCTGCATCCCCGGGACCCCGAGGCTGGGCCTGGCCACAAGGAGCCTGGTGGGCTGGAGGGGCCGGCCGGAGGCAGAAGGAAGGCCAATCAGCACACCACGGGCAAGTGTTAGGTATCCCAGACACCCCGAATCCAGTTACAGCCCAAGAAGAGAGGCTCTGGATCTAGGATTTTCAAATTCAAAACATGAAATGGAAAAAAAAAAAAAAAAAGGCTGATCTCACACTACAGAAGCTAAGTGTGTCTCGGGACCAAAACCACAGTGTGGAAGCCAGGCCTCCTCGTCCACCTGTGAGCGTCAGGGCTCCAGGAGGAGGAAAGGCCTGGCGATGGCGACTGTGATGGATAAGTGAAAGTGGAAATTTTCTCTGATCACAAAAGGTGAGTCTGCAGAGTGACAGGGCTGGTGCAGTGCCAGGCAGGGTTGTTTTGAAGAAGAAAGGCACACGCCCTTGGCATCTCCAGCGGCATTCCTGAAGTCCACGATAAAATCTCAGTCTTCCTGTCTGAATAAATCAGTTATTGACACAGAAAAAGCCTGGAAGCCAGAGGACTTCTGGGACGCCGCCCCCTTTGCACCTCGCCCCAGAACCTCAGCAGACACAGAACCATTCCCTGGTGGCCTTAAAAAAAAATGGCTTTTGCAGAAGAGCTGGATTCCCTGGGGCATTTTCCAGTGGGTTACAGGGTTTGAGTCCTGGCTCCACCATTTCTAATTTACATATTTTTTATTGATTTCAGAGAGGAAGGGAAAGAGAGAAAAATTGAAACATCAGTGATGAGAGAGAATCATTGATCAGCTGCCTTCTGCACGACCCCTACTGGGGACTGAGCCTGCAACACCAGGCATGTGCCCTGACTAGGAATCGAGCTGTGACTTCCTGGTTCATTGGTCGACACTCAACCACTGAGCCACACCAGCCGGGCCCGGCTCCGCCATTTCTAGCTGTGTGGCGTGGACATGTTACATGCCTTGGTTTCCTCATCCATCAAATGGGCGAATAGTCCTTTCTGTATAGGTATTAAGAGAGAGAACTAGTATAGGTACAAAACTAAGAATAGTAACCAGCAGGCAGAAACACTACATGTTAGCTGTTTTAATTATACGTAAACACTCCTGGCGGTAAAAGGACTCCAGGATGTACACACATAAAATTCTAGGAAGAAGCCCTGGCCGGTGTGGCTCAGTGGGTTGAACATCGTCCCCTGCACCAAGGTTCATTCCTGGCCTGGGCACATGCCCGGGTTGCAGGTTCATCCCCCTCTCGGTGTGTGTATGGTAGGCAACCAACTGATCGCTGTTTCTTTCTCACATCGATATCTCTCTCTCTCTCTCTCTCTCTCTCTCTCTCTCCCCCCCTTCCTCTTTTTCTGAAACCAATAAAAACATATTTTTTAAAAATCCTAGGGAGGAAAGCGCGGCAGTTACTCAGTCTCACTGAACCTCAGCATCTCCGCCATGAGGTGGGGTAACAAGGCGTCTGCAATCTGCACAGCGTGCAGGCCTCAGAAGTGTCTGTGAGCCTTTGTCCCCGAGGGGGGCTGGATTTTGGCAGGGCCGGGGCCGACACACCACCAGGCATGACCGCAGTCACAAGCTGTTCCCTGGGTATCAGGCGACTCCCACTGGGGAAGGGAGTGGTCAGCCGGCACTTGCCTCGCACCAGGTCCTGGGTGGGTGTTTCCCGGGAATCCCCTGGGGGAAGTCGGTGCTCACACCGGGACTGACTCGGAGATGAGGCTCAGACACTGAGCCCTCTGTGAGCTCGGCCAGCTGGTGACAGAGGGGAGACCCAGTTCTGAGTGAGGGTCCAAGTCCAGTTTCTGGAGTCCCCTGCCAATGCCAGGGGTGTTTGGAGCAGTGGGACCATGCAGCCCCCAGGGGACATCTTCTGTTTCAGCTGCGTGAGCAGCAGGGTGAGGGAGAGACACCAGCTTTGAGTTGGACAGATCCTGGCGTGACCTTGGGGATGTCACCCTCACATGCTCCCTCATCCTCCAGCCACGAGGATTAAGGGGCTCCCGGGAGGAGCTCGGTGCACAGCAGGTAACGGCCTCCCATAGCTCCACCCCCCACTGCAGGTGTCAGACATCTGGATCTCAAGTCCCCCTTTCTTCCTCCAGGTGTGGCAGGCGTGCTGGTGGGACACCCATTTGACACGGTCAAGGTGAGTCACTTGTCGTGGTTTTAGTGTCGGCCCTGTGGAGGCCCACACAGAGGACAGAAGCCTGCAGGGTCTGGGTGGCTGGGGCTCCTTCCCAGGGCCCACCTTAGGAACCCTCAGGGTCTTCCCACAGGTTCTAGAGCAGTGGTTCTCAACCTTCCTAACGCCGCGACCCTTTAATACAGCTCCTCATGTTGTGGTGACCCCCAACCATAAAATTATTTTCGTTGCTACTTCATAACTGTAATGTTGCTACCGTTATGAATTGTAATGTAAATATCTGATATGCGGGATGTATTTTCATTGTTACAAATTGAACATAATTAAAGCATAGTGATTAATCACAAAAACAGTATGTAATTATATATGTGTTTTCCGATGGTCTTAGGCGACCCCTGTGAAAGGGTCGTTCGACCCCCAAAGGGGTCGCGACCCACAGGTTGAGAACCGCTGTTCTAGAGTAACGTGGAGAATGGGTCTCTGTGACGCCAGATGGGCGACCACTTACCCACTGAGCCGAGTGGGCTGGGCCTCCTGGTCTGCCCCACATCTCCCAGCAGGGGCGGCCTGTCCAGGTCCATCCTGGGGCTTGGCCAGCTGAGACCGGGGGGCCGGTCTCCCCTCGCTGAGAGCAGGAATCCCCAACTGTTCTTGCAAAACAACTCCAGACCGCTTCTTAAAGGAAAGAAAAGCTCAGGGAGAAAATACGGAAAAATCCAAACTCGTCAGGATTCCCCAGGAAGGTGACCGTCATTGTCAAGACATTGGTGAGCGTTTCCCAGGGCAGGTGCACACCTGTGCGGTGCTGGCGGGCAGCACGCAGCAAGCCCCGCGCCCCGAGAAACCTGAGTTCCAGGTTCTCAGACACCTCAGAGCAGAAACCAAGCAAGGCCACGTCCTCCCTCCAGAGGTTCCAGCTCAGATTTTCCCTGTGGTTGGGGTTTCACGCCCTTGAACTAGCCAAGTCAGGGCCCGACCTTATCTGCTCACCCGGGAGCCAGGGCGGCTGTTGTACACGGCAGGGCACAGGGCAGACCTGTCCCCTGTGAACACTGCCCACGGGGGCAGGGCAGAGCTCAGGCAAGGACATCCCCTTCGCTGGTTCGAGGCGGCTTCCGGTCTCCTTGTTTCCGGACCCAGGGGTTCCTCTGCCAGGAAAAGGACCTGCGAGCTGGGGGCTGGGTGTCCTGCAGCAGAGATGTTGGGGCCCCGCCTTATGCACTGGCTCCTGGGGAAGGTCTGTCCCTGGGCCTGGTGCAGGGCCAGGCCTCCCTCCCGCTGGTCGGTGCAGTGACGTGGGCCTGTCACTTTGCTTCTGGGCCCAGACGTCCCCGTCTGCACAGTGAGGGGTTGGGCAAGATTCCTGAGGCCCCGGTGGTGGCCGGTGCACGGTGTAGGCTACGTGAGGAGAGGCCGGTCCCGAAGAGCACAGACTTCCTCCCATCGCACTGCGGGCGGGTCCGGGGAGGAGGCCGAAGGGCCAGGCTTTCTGGCCACACAGCGGCCCCTGAGTTCCCTGAGGGCCACCGAGAGCGAGGCCCTGGTGGCGTGTGTCCACACGGCTGCCCAGGCTCTGCTCAGCTGACCGCCTGTGAAGCCTGTCCACAGCCAGGCAGCCCGGACCAGCCTGGCAGTGTCCACGTTGTGCTGTGTTTATATCTGGTGGTCACGTGTTGTAAAGGCCTCTTGAAGCTGCGTGCAGCCAAGAAGTGGCTCTGATTCACGTCCTCAGCCCAGCGCTGCGGAGGCCGCTCCGAGCTGTGACTCAGCCCAGGCCTGGCCAGGCCTTCTGCAGGCTCCCGTTGGGTCCCTCAGGCCAGAGCACTGGTCCTGGCATCCCTGCCCCCTCTGGCTCCTGAGCCGGACAAGCACCCCTTGCAGCAAATGGGGTGCAGGAGCTTCTGCACCTCCTGGGCTAATGCTCTCTGGAACCCCCTTACCGGGCACCTAGAGGGAGCAAATCTGTGACTTTTTTTTTTTCCCCACCAGCATCACATCTGGGCAAACTGTCTTTAAAATCTGAGTTTTTTTTATAAAGGGGAGAAACCTGTCCCAGTCATCACCTTCCGTGACCGTACTGTCCCGCCCAGGGCTCACATGGTGCTGGGCGTGGAGCGCTCTTGTGGTTTAATTTAATGTTATAATGGCTTCATTTTTTTACTGGCTGTTTTCCATTATAAAAGTTAAACGCTCTTCTTACAAGCAAATTGGGAAATGTAGAAAAGCAAGTGACTTCCTCCAGCAGACCAGCCGGCCCTCACACCCCGTGCGAGCTGGGGGCTGGGTGACCTGCCCTCACACCCCGTGCGTGGCCTTCCCCTGGGCAGGCGACGTTTCTGTGTATAGTCGTCAGGTACACACACATTTTTTTGGTTGGCTTTCTGTTACAAAAGTAATTCAAGTTGTAAAAAAATTTAACCGTAACAGAGACATATAAACTAAAAGGAAAAAACCCACAGTCCTTCATACATCGTCCCCGCCCGGTGGGTGATTTCTGCTGAAAAACAGAAATGTCATACGTGCTTGCTTCTGCAGAGATAGCATTTGTTTCATAGCCCTGCAGCTGAAATGAAAACTTAATGTATAGGAAAGGGCAAAGGTGCTAAGAATGCAAACCTAGGAATCATGGGAGAAGAACAAGGCCCGAAGCCCCCTCCCCTCTCCAAACCCCCCCCTCCTCCCAAGGCCAGGGCCCATTTCACTTGGCCTTTCCTTGAGCCTCGTGTCATCAGACCTGGGCTCCAGAGGGGCGAGGGGACACCTGTGTCTGTGTCAGTCACACTGCCTCACAACAGGGACGTTCTCAGTTTATTCCTCCAGACCCTGGAGACCGAAATTTGAGTCCAAAATTTGGTTTCCCTCTGTGGAGCCTAGAACCACAGCCACTGTCCTCGGCCACACTGCCCTCACACGAGGGTGGGTTTCTGTCCTTAGACTCCAGGGACACGACAGTAGCTGGGGACACCTTCGCCAGGGAGTGGCTGTCCCAGGGCAGGGGATAGGCCCGCATGCGATGTTGAAATCTTGTGTTGCTTTAACCGCCTTTACTTCCTGAGCTGGAGCTGGCTCCACCCTGAGCAAAAATGTAACTCTGTTATAGGGGAGCCAAAGCCTCACCCAGAGACCAGGTGAACCCCACATTTCTGTCCTCCCTGGGCCTGACCCCAAGTTCCCTGTGGGCCTAGCAAGGGCAGGAGGGGCAGGAGGGCATAGCACAGGTCCTGGGTTGGGGGCCTGGGCGGGGCTGGACGAGAAAAATCATCCCCCTGGGTCAGGGGTCTTCCTGGGCTTGTGTGAGAACGACCACTTTTCCAGGGCGGGTCATTCGTCCTAAAGGAGCTCCTGACTCCCCGAACCTTAAAGCTCTCCATTCTAGATACTGTAAGACGTGGTCCCTGGGCCGCGTTCCACCCCAGACCCAGGGGTCAGAAGCGTATCATTGACACTACCACCAATTTGATCTTTTTCTCGGTTGTCATGCTGTCCCCGCTGTTAACTGACAATACTGCCCATGGCTACACTTTAAGGAACGCAGGTCATCATCATCAACTAGCAGGCTTTGCTCTCTTGCTAAGGACAGTGAGGTCACAGAGACGGAGTTGGTTTTGTTCACACTCAGCCTCTACCCGTCTCAGGTCGGGGGGCCCCTGCCCCTCTGGGTGTCGTCCAGTGCAGCTGGCTGTCTCTGGCTGATTGCTCACTGATACCCCTCCCTGAAGAGGCACGGACACCTGGCCTCATCCCACCTTGGGATTCCAAAGCCACAGAAAGCTAGCTGCGTGGCCCCCTGCCCCGTGGGTCTGGCCTCTGCCATGGTCATGGGTGCCATGGAGCTGGGTGCTCTGTCCCTGGCTTGCCCACCTCTCACTGGGCCCTCCTTCCAGGTGAGGCTTCAGGTCCAGAGCCTGGAGAAGCCCCAGTACCGAGGCACCCTGCACTGCTTCCAGTCCATCATCAAGCAGGAGAGCGTGAGTGGCCTGGGCTGGGGCAGGTGGGCAGGGGTGGGAGCCAGCCAGGAGGAGGCTGCGGGGCCGGACCCCTTGGGGGGTGGGGGGGAGAAAGAGCCGGGAGCCTGTTGGGGGAATTGGGACTTTGGAAATGGGATGGTGTGAATGCCCAGGACGCTCAGGTTGGGGGCTCTGGCTCTAATAAGGCTCTGTTTTGACCCTTAGGAAACCTGGGGTGGGCTGGGGCTGCCGCCACCCTGCAGTGCAGATTCCCAGGGGAAGTAGGCTGGGCTGCCCAGGCCCCAGGTAGGGAGTGGGCACCTGACGCCCCTCTGTCCCCGCAGGTGCTGGGCCTGTACAAGGGCCTGGGCTCACCGCTCATGGGGCTCACCTTCATCAACGCGCTGGTGTTCGGCGTGCAGGGCAACACCCTGCGGGCCCTGGGCCAAGACTCGCCAATGAACCAGTTCCTGGCGGGGGCGGCGGCCGGCGCCATCCAGTGCGTCATCTGCTGCCCGATGGAGCTGGCCAAGACGCGGCTGCAGCTGCAGGACGTGGGCGCGGCCCGCAACTACCAGGGCTCCCTGGACTGCCTGGCGCAGATCTACCGGCACGAGGGCCTGCGCGGCGTGAACCGGGGCATGGTGTCCACCCTGCTGCGCGAGACGCCCAGCTTCGGCGTCTACTTCCTCACCTACGACGTGGTGACGCGTGCCCTGGGCTGCGAGCCGGGGGACTCGCTGCTGGTGCCCAAGCTGCTGCTGGCGGGCGGCACGTCGGGCATCCTGTCCTGGCTCTCCACCTACCCCGTGGACGTGGTCAAGTCCCGGCTGCAGGCCGACGGGGTGCGGGGCGCCCCGCGCTACAACGGGATCCTCGACTGCATGCGCCAGAGCTACCGCGCCGAGGGCTGGCGTGTGTTCACGCGCGGGCTGACGTCCACGCTGCTGCGCGCCTTCCCTGTCAACGCTGCCACCTTCGCCACCGTGACCATCGTGCTCACCTACGCACGTGGCCCCGAGGACCAGTCCGAGGACGAGGGTGTGCCCGCCGCCTCGGGGCCTGCGCTGGCCCAGCCCTCCAGCCTGTGAAGCTCCGCCCCCTTGACAGGGCGTGACCTCCCCGGGGCCACCTTTCATCCACCCAACATCCACATAAATCGGCCCCCTGCCCAGACCAGAGGGCTGGGACTCCATCAGATCTGGGCCCGGTGCCACTCATCAGCCGGGTTACCTTGGCCACAGCCTTGACTCCTCATTTTTCTCAGCTGTGAAGTGGGGATGCTCACACCCATGCTGTGCAGTCAGGAAGCTGGCCCTGTTACCTGGAAGCTTCCAGAAACCCAGCCAACACTCCAGTGCTTCCCTGGGATCCCACCCACCACCCCGGCTCTCCCGTGGCTGGGCTGCCCAGTGACACTCAGTGCACATCCTCCACCTGGCAGAGCTCCAGGCCCCTCTTGGCCACCTGTCCAGGCTCTAGGATGAGGACAGGCAGCCCCGGTGCCTCCTGGTATCAGAACTGAACCTCTCCTAATGCACCCCAGCTTCTCCACATGGCACTCCCAGTGGAGGCTGACCTGGGGCCGCCAAAAGGCCATGGGATTTGCTGGAGGCTCCGTATCCTCCATAGTTTTAAACACAGCCAGGGGGAGGGGAATTCTTGTACCCTCTGGGGCTCAGGCTGCCCATCTATAAAATGGGGACACGGGTCGGCCGATATCTGGAGCTCTGGCCCACTACCCCCAGCCAGGGTTTCCAAAGGCGAGTGGAGGGGTGGAGAGGGAGATAGTATGGGCCCCCCACCCCACCCCCCTTCTCCAGCAAATGGTGTCTTACCTGGGCAAGCTCCTTGGTGCCTGGTGTTCCTGTGAGGTGGGAGGGCCCATTAGTGGGCATGGCTGTGGCCAGTTTGGGCCCCTCTGGGTTGAGGGGGAGCTGAGCCCACGCTCTGGGGCTTCCGCTCGAAGCTAGGGCTGCAGTGGGAACTCGGGGTGGCCCCGGCACATCCAGTGCCGTGCGGCCATGTGACCGGCTGGGGAGGTGGAAGGTACTGCATAGAGGAAGGTGCCTGTGGCCCCCTTTGCCCTGAGTGGGCTCAGCCGCTTGGGCAGTGCCAAGCTCTCCCAGGAGGCCCTGTGGGCGAGGAAGACGGGACTCCCACCCTGTGCATGGGTGTCACTGGTATTAAAGTTATTTGTTTTTTAAGATCAAGGCTTCGTTTGTGTATCACAGAAGGGGCTTCATTCCACACCCTCCCCGGAGTGAGAGGGGCCGGCTCGGTGGTCTGCACCCTCCGGCCCTGATGGCAGCCCCAGCTGTGTGACCTGAGGTCGGCTTTGGGTCACGTCTTAGACCCTCAGTTTCCTGGTCTGCAAAATGGGGCTAACAGAGGCATGAGGATGGATTGAGCACAGCTCAGACGTGCTGGGCGAGGGCTGGGCGTTCAGCAGGAGCTCCCCGGGTGTCTGGCTACCCCAGCGACAGGAGGCCTGGCCCTCGTCCTCCCGCTGGGCGGGGCTGGCAGCACGAGCTGTGAGCTCTCCGGAGGACCCAGCTGTGCTCAGGTCAGACATGGCCGCTGGCAGGAGGGTGAGTGGAACTGCCCAGCCGAGATTAGACCTAACCCAGCCGAAGAGGTTCCTGGGGGCGCCTCGAGGAGGCCGTGGGTGCCCACCCCCACTTCTCAGCCTCTTGGGGTCAATCCTGGACACCCTGTGTCTCCCAAGCTACCAGCCTGGATGGAGGCTCTTTCCTTCCCAACTGCTGAGCCAAAAAGCTTTGCCCCCCCCCACCCCCCCGCCCACAGGGTGGGCAGGAGAGAGGGCCCCCGGCTCTCCCTGCAGGAGCGGAGCCAGCTCTCAGGTGCCTTTACACCCCATTTAACCCAGCACCAGCCTGTGAGGTTGGGCTTGTCTGCGGTTTCCAGGGAGAGGAGGCCAGGAGGGGGCTGGGTGAGGTGTCCTCGGGTGTGTCACAGACCCTGTTAACAGTGTGCCCTCCCTGGGGTCCCAGGCAGCAGCTCCTTCCCCCATAAAGCCCCCTGGCTTCTCTTGCCTCTTTCCTCTGAGAGAACCCAGGCAAATGCTAAAAACCAGGGTCCCCCACTCCCACTGTGAGCACTGACGGTTAAACATTACCGACAGGTTGGGTGGGAAGAGGGGTTGGGAGAAGTGTGGGGTTTTTATCTATTTACTTGACAATTTATTTTCTTCCTGACTTAAATTTATGTTTATTCTATTTGGAATAAGTAATCTATTAATGTGGCAAAAAATAAAAATGCGGACAAAACCCAGACTGTGTAATGAAGGGGAAACCTGGTCCCCAGCGCCTCCCCAGCTAGCACCCCCCCCGGCCCCCCCGAGCCCGGGGCTGTCTCAGTTCCTGGAGGACATCCAGAATGTCCCCTGGGTGAGTCCCAGCCCGTGGGAACACTCCACTCCTGCAGACTGTGGCCTAGGTACTGACTGTTCTTTGGACGTGACAGTTATCTTGGAGATGTGGCTCAAACGGCAGGCATTTATCCTCTGGAAGGGCTGGAAGGTCAGAAGTCACCTTCACTGTCAGCACCGCAGGCCGCTGGGATTGAGGGAGGACCTTCCCGGCCTCCCCCTGATGGCAGGATCTTGTAACAGGGGCAGCGCCTCACCCCTGTGCACACTCCCTCTCCAGTCCTCTTAGCCTCCGTTTTGCAGCGGGGGATGCCAGCGGGGAGGGCCCTGTCCAAGGTCACACGGCCAGTTGGTGCTGGGTCAAGAGCCCGAAGGCCTTCCTGGTCTGCAGCCCTCACCGCAGCCCTGCCCCGGGCCTGGCTATGCACCACGTGGCCCGCCTGCACCTACAGCCCAGGCTGATCACCGAGTTCCTGTGGCTGCAGTGACAGACACCCCGATGGCACCCCAGCAGCACAGGGAGGGGCAGGAACCTTGGACAGGCTCAGGACCCACCCCGTGTGCCCCTTGGTCTCGGCTTCCTTGCTGCTGTGCCTCCCTTACATGGCACCCACCGGCCCTCCCAGGGGAGGGTGTGCCCACTGTGACGATGGTGGAGGCAGTGGCCTCGGGGAGCTGGGCCAATACAGCCCTTTGCTCACCCCCCACACTGGGAAGCCCTCCCGTGGCCCCACCCACCCAGCCCGGCTCTGCAGGCCTGCTGATGGGCATTGGGTGTCCAGCCCTCCCAAGGCCAGGAAGCTCACCTGAGCGGGGCGGTGGTGCTCCACATTAGGTGCTGCTGGGTGGGAGCCATGCCCTGGCAGGCTGGCAGGGCAGGTCTGCAGTGCGGACCATCCGTCCCTGGAGCTCCCTCGGTAGCTCTCAAGGTGTGGTGGGCTCCTCAGCCTGCTGGGCAGACCCTGAAAGCCACCCCTGGGCATCCAGGTGGGTTTGGGAAACAAAGTGGGCAGAATTGATGCCTGAGTGGATGTGAGGGGGTGAGAGGTGGGAGGCCACCATGACAGCCTCTTCTGGCTTAAATGTCCCTGTGGATGGTGGGAGACAGGCTGGGAAGGGGGGGCACAGTGAATAAATGGCTGAGCGGATAGATGAGGGCAGAGGCTGCTGAGCACAGGGCCAGGTTGGGTTTTGCTAGAGACAAGGGAAGGCAAAAATGTAGGAGGGCGGGAAGCTGGGACATGGAGCTGTGTGGGCCGGATGGTGAGGAGGTGATTGGCTGAGGGCACTGGGGTGCAGTCCCAGAGAAGCAGGAGTGGCAGTGAGAGAGCAGGACCCCAGGACAGAGACTGGGGGTTGCAGGTGTTGGAAACACGAGGTTTGGGGGTGGGCATGGCAGTGGCAGGTGGAGTGGGGTCATCAGGAGGACAAGGCCAAGGATGGACCATCCTGCAGACCAATGCTGAGGTCACCGGTGAAGATGGGTGGGGAGTCAGTGGCCCAGCTTTAGAATGAACGGGGGGACTGGTGGAGTGGGGCTGGGATGGGGTGGAAGGATTTGGAGTGGAAGTGGGCTGAGGAGGGAGAGCCCACCCACCGCTCCTGTGGTATGGGGGTGGGGAGAGAAAAAGCAGCCCGGCTTGGGGGGCTTCTGGTCCCTCTTCCCAACCCACACCAGGCCTTGACTTCACCCAGGACTAGACGGGGATCCGGCCACCCCTCGCCTGGTCCAGGGGTGCGCCGGGAGCCTCCCAACCCCAGGCCTTGCTCAGGTGGCCCCTCCTCTAATGTCTCCTCTCTGGTCCTACAAGGGCATCACGAGCGCAGCCCGCTCCCTCCCGGCCTCTCCTGAGGTCCAGCCTGCCCCAGCCCCCCTTCTCCCCTCCGCCCAGCTTCTGCCGAGGAAAATGAAGCTCCCGACTGGCCCAAGGTCATCTGCCCTCTGCCTTGGCGAATCCCGAGGCCTTTCCAACTGGCTGGCCTCCCCGAGTGTCCCCTTAGCAGCTGGTGGCCCCACAGGTGCTGAAGGACAAATGAGTGACCCTCCTCCCCCATCTTGCGGTCCCCACGCTGGGCCGAGCGTGTTAGCGGATGGCACGAAAGGCTGTGGGCGCCGAGGTGCAGGCTTCTAAGCTTCCCCCGCGGGACCCGGGCTCCGGACCCAGCCAGGCCTATGCAGATGGGTCCTGGCAGCCCCACGCCCAGCGCAGCGCGCCCCCACCTCACACCGTGTGGGAGCGGCCGCAGCACAGCGCCCTCCGGTGGCAGAGGGGAAGGCGCACCCGCTGGTGCCGGCGCAGTCAGGGGTCTAAGGCGGGAGAACTGACTAACCCTCAGGCCGGGGGGGGGGGGG